ATTTAAAAAATTTTTAAACGAATAAAAAGAAAGAGAATGTACGAGAATGTACGTACGTAATCTAACCGTAGTAAGAAAAATTTTAAATATTCCGAACCAATGATTTTGTAAACGTAATCATTTTTCAACATGACGTGTATCTCATCTATAGCCAATAATAAATTTTCCGACAAAACGTGAGGAGGCAAATGAATCTTGACCCATCAAGTACATTAATCTTGTCAATCACTGTATAAATAAACAATTGTTTTATAATAAGATCGGCAAGTGGGTCCAGGTTCATATTTTTATTATCAACAAAGTTGAGATTATCCGGAAAAAACAGGTAATTATATTATTGGTCAAATATATGTATCAAATAGCATTGATTATTCATAGTTGAAGTATATTGACGCCATCTTGTTCTAATTGTAGAAAAAATAAAACTGCAAACTTATATTTGTGTTGCATAAAGTTCAACTAAAAGTAGAGTTTTTGAAAGGCATATGCACTTTTTTTCTTATGTAGTAAAACTCCTCATCACAGAAATAAACAGGAATTCCCCTTGTTTGAGACGCTTCAAATGAAATTTTTTTTTAGAAATGAATGAATGAGAGTTTCATGTACAATTTAATTTAGGTTAAATTAGTTCATTAACGGTGTATTACGTTATGACCGTTTGTTTCTTATATAAATGAATTCGAATCACCTTGCTGTCAGGATTTATACCCTTTTCAATTATTTATTTTCATCATTCAGTGATTTTCTATTACACATAATCTTTAAAATATAAATAGTATTATAATAATAGTAAAATGTCAAGCTTTTCTTATAGTTTAGAACAATCAATCCTTCTCTATCTCGAAACTGAAATTAAAATAAATATCTTCAAATATGTCGATTCGCCATTAAACTTGGCCCTTACCTGTAAAGAATGGAATAAAATTGCAAAAGATCCTTACGCCAAATCCGAGTGGTTAATCTATAACTTTGGCAAAACACATGCGATGTTTCACGGAATACGGTTGGGATCAACATTCATCAATAGGGACGTATTTCAGATCTTAATACATAAAAAAGTTGGGTTTTCCAGATATCTGGTACAAAAAATATTGATTCATTATGGGAGTCAAGATGTAGAACTGGTTGAACAAAAGATAAAACATAATGTTATACTACCCGACACGAATAAAGTCCGCATGGACCGAAAAAAAATTCAAAGTCCTTGGGCAAGCAATTTGCCATTTAGCGTGTTCAGCATGATTTTGCAACAAGGAACTCGTCAATTTTCCGAAACATCGCCCGTTAAGGGTAACGACATGGAATTATTCCATTTAATTTCAGGAGGCACCCTTGTAATCAATTATGCTCAACAAGAGTTGAAAAATAATTACAATCTCATAAAAGATTTGATAATAAAGTATAAATTTGTGCCATTCCCACCCAGACCAAGAACACATCAATTAAGATACGGCAATGATCCCCACAACCATATGGTTATTCTGGAAGAATATCCATCAAAGGATGGCTTTGAAAATAATAGACAGCTCAATTCAATTGCTAGAGCAATATTGCTTGACACAAGATTTGTTCAATTATGGAAGGGAATCGGTTACACCGAGATATGTAGCGATTGCAATGAACATGTCATGTCAGGAGCATTAATCATCCTTTTTCCTCCATCCCCACCATCCGGATGGGAATGTCCTACTGCAGAATACGTATTATCACGCCTTACTATGCTTATCGAACTAGGGTTTGAACTCAACGATAAGTCCATAGTGGACATCCTACTAATATTCGAGAATAAGTTGGAAGAATATGGAGATATTTTTTGGAACGTTTTCACTACAATACGAAGTAATGATTCAAATGTTTCATTAGTTTCCAGATTGTTTAAAGAGGCTTTTAAGCCATCAAGAGGTCTCAAAAGGATATTGATGTTAGGTTATTTGAAAAATAAGAGCGAATATGCCGAAGAAATTTTACAAAAAATTATAGAAGAAACATTTATAACTGAAAAGGTTGAAGATGTAGATTTCATAGGAAGAAGGAAATCATTGATACTTTCCCCCACAATATACCAATTTATTATCTACGAATATGGGAACGAGTCAAAGATATCATCTACATGTTTCATTGATATACTATCATTGAAACTCTATTTAAATCATACAAAAAATCCCCCTGTATCTAAATTTACGTTAAATTCTATTAATACAACTTACGAACTTTATAAACAAGGGATTAAGTACAAGGTAGAAAATTTAAGACATTTAAAGGCGTTCTCGAGAACTTCAATTGAAAAACTATTAAGTAATCTAAATGGTTAAAAAAAATCACATACTTATTCATTGAGCGAGATACGCATCGCTGTAAACTTTTGTCATCAAATTTCTAATTTCGGTAAATGGTCTAATAGATTGTTAGTTAAAAGTTGGTTCATTAATTCGGTATTTTCCTTTTATCAATAATTTACCATTTGCTTTATATGATTTGACACCTTTTTTTTGTTAATTCGTCACATTCTTAATTAATAATTTTTTTAAACATTTCTTTCATGTTTTACTAAAATGCGTTTAATCCATCGAGGGGGATGCTTGTAGCTGTAATATATTTTCATTTTCATTTTTTTTTTATTTACTGTATATTTTCACATCATTAAAAAATAAATTTTTTTGTTAATATGAATTCATTTACATAAATTATTATGCTTATGTAAAAAAAAATCTTTACTGGTATTTGATGCGCCACTTGAAATATTATTTTTAATCTTTTTTTATTAAAGCGATTACAAAAAAAAAAAATTTCCAAAATGCAGAAAATCATTTGAAACTTATATGCAGTCAAAGTGTGGATATTTGAAATGTCTAAAGAATTCGTAAAAAAAAAGAACGAATGTAAATGTAAAAAAAATTAATTTGTTTCTCATCTTAATTGTTTAAAAAATGAATCATACGATTTTTTCAACTCCTCTGAATCGAAAAGTAGTCAAATTTAGTACGCTCACATGCACATTCATAAATTCGAATAAAGCATTTCCATTTGATCGTAAGAGATTTCTTGTTATAATCGACCATCGAAAGTTTCAAGATCATCCTAAAAGAAAGCCTCAAAAGTAACTTTCAAAATTAGTAGTCAGCCACAACTTCAAAACTTTTTATCGAAGAACTCAAAATGTATGATTGATTTTCCATTGTAGATCGGAACAATCTCTTCAAGTCAAACATGCTTTTATAGAATCAATTTAATTGGAAGGATGCGGAAAAATCACGCTTTTTACACAGTTGCTTTCTTCTTCGAGTTCTTGTACAAAAAGGAATAATAACAAGATTTTACTTTTTAAAAAGTATTCATTACAACAGATTATATAAATACGATAAATTTAAAACTTACTGAATAGAGTGTTTTTATTATTTTCCAAAGGTTATTATTCATCAATAAAAAAAATTTTCAACCATGTTGAATATAAAAAAAAAAAAAAAAATACATGCTGGATCCTTGAAGCCTATGGTTGAATAGGATCGGATTATATTATTCTTTTGAAACATTTATCGGAAGTGTATGAAATTTACCCACGAAATAACCTCAATGAATCTATATTTGTAATTATGCAGGAAGTTTAATAATGCATGTATATTTCGTTGCATGACGCATGTAGTTAGTCTGCATCACAAGGCGGCACAACCGTATTAAGCCAACTTCGTGAAAGATTAGACATTTTATTTATTTTTTCTACAACTTAATTAATAAAAAAAAAGGGTGCTTTAATTCTAGCTTAAGAATTATATCTTGAAAATCACTCCAAGCTTTTGAAAATTCTTTGTAATTTCGATTTTGAGAGTCACCTGGACATAAATATTGACATAAATTGCATCATTGTTTATTTCTTGTACTAGGATGTTATTTGATGTCTAAATTAGCCCAAACTGTTCTAGACAATTCACATGTCACAAATTCATCCTTAATTGGTGTAGACTTTTAACCTTGTGTACTGACAATAAATTTTATTGGACGAAATTAGTCAACTTTTGTGTAACATTTATCTTTAGAAAAAAATTCTCACGATTCAAAGAAAAAAATTTGTTTACAATAAAAAAAGAGGAGTGAACAAATATCTTTATTTTATTTATTTATATTGCTTTAAAATGGTATTTCATTCTTTATAAATTGTTTTATTTAATATTTCTAATAATTTTAGTAGCGTTATAGTATTCGTGCCTTGATATTTTTTCCTTCACCTTCAAGCGGTTTAAAAAGAAACTAATTTATTAAGCTTTTTTACACATTAAAATATGAGTAAAGTAGATAAGATAAACATACCCTTTCCAATACAAAATTTATAAAAGCAAACGTATACGAAAGAAACAAGTGCGCGAAAAAAAACATTTTTAATACACTATATATTTAATCTATCAATAAAAATAAGTTACACCCGGTTTAGGTTAAGAACCTAATCTCCTATAGTTCTGGTCATATGATTATATATATGTATAATGTGGCAAATTGTTAAAAATCCTAGATTATTATTCAAGTCACATGACCTGAGCTTTTTGTTCCTCTGATCTTTTGGTGTATGATATAAATGTTGCGAATTACGGTAAGAGCAATTAGAACGTTAAATACTTCATCAATCTTAAACTCACTAAATAAAATAATATTGTCATCTAATGATATTAAAATTCCTGCCAGAGTTTGCTGTGCAGTGCGGCAGGCAGTCTTTTAACGCGTTCGATACTTCAAATAAAAAAATAATGCATAATAATGAAGTTTATTGTAAAAGGAATAAACATGGATATATTAAGTACTAAATATCGTATTTGAACTTTCATCAAATCCACAAACAATTTATTAAATTACTTTAAACTAACCATCAAATTTTATATACAGTAATTCAAGTAAAAAAAAAATATTTTTTTAATGAATTATTCTTAAAAATAAATTTGATTTCAGAAGTGGGAGAGTTTAACAAATTTCCAAAGGAAGGTCAAAGATTCTTTCTCGTAGAAATGAAGTAATGTATGGGGTTTGCGGTGAAGAAGAGGCGTAGGAATTGGTGTAGTATCGTTGATGGTGATGGGTGGTGTAGGATTTTGAAGGATCAAAAGTTTTACACTTCGATGGGGAACAATGTACTGAATGTAGGAATGGGACGAATTCCTGAAAAAGGATCGGGGGCTTTATTTCTTAAAGGATTCGAAAATGTCGTAACGTTATCTTCGTTAATCGAATAGTATGTTTTGCTCTTATGCGCCAAAAATTTTTTTATTTTGTATCTTTCATCACAAGAATTAATTTTTTGAAATGAGTGATGTTTTTTTTAACTCTTCAAAATGAATAAACTTTACTTACGATATTGAAGAGACTAAATTAAAAGTAAATAATTTATAATATAAAGGAAAATAAAATGATTAGTTCTCGATCCTTGATCTTCCTATAAGGAAATATGGCAAGTAGTTCTTTAGCGACATTTTTTTTTAAGTTATAAATGATAAATGAAAATTCATGGCGGATGGTTTCAACAAGTTATCAACATACATTGACGAGCTTAATACGTAATACAAGGTACCAAGAAAAAATAATTTTTTCCTTGCTTGAATAGGAAAGAAACTCCTTGTAAATAATTTTATGTATTCAACTATATATATGGGAGGTTGCTAGGAAAAAGGGACTCTGAGCATTTTCTATTAAAATTTTAAATTTTATTGCATTTTAATTTTTGATAATGTTAGATTAAAATGCAATAAAAATTAAAATTTTAATAAAAAATGCTCGGAACCCCCTTTTCCTTGCAAACCTCCCATATATCATTTTAATTGACTTCATGCGATAGTTTTCAACAAAATTGGGTACTTTTACGGATTATATGTTACAAGTCACAGTAACAGTACAAATTGTTTAGCTTCCAAGTGTTTGGGGTAACTTATTTGTGGTACATTGGAATTTTGTATAATAGTTCAAATGCTCCATACTCTAATATTCAATTCAATTTTTAATTTCTAAGCTTAGGGATCAAAAATGTTCAAATTCGGTAATAAAAAAGTTATTGTTTTTCCCTAGATTTAATCGAGTTGGGCCCAATTTAATGATTTGTGTTCTGCATAATACGTCGTCAAAAGAACCTAGAATATTATTAAAATATTTATTTAATTAGGTGTAAACAATAATTCCGAAGAAATTGGTTGACAATCACTTTTCTTTAAAGATATTTCAACTTAGGTGATATTAATTTGAAATGTGTTCAACTTAAGTTCCATTTGCATATTATATTTTTTTGCATAAAATATTCATAATTCTCATACGATCATGATTTATTTGTTAGTGGAATTTAGCGAATAATTGGACTTGATTACAAAATAAAATCACGTTACAGATCATTTTGATATACCATGTCTTGTGACTAGAAATTATTTGTATCGAAAAAAGTTAATTATAATGATTATTGCGCCACGGTAATTTCTTTTTTATGATACTACGCCACAGGATGGATATTTAAGAAAATCAAAAAATAATACGCTCGACTTTATTTATTATCTTCTAAAACAAAATGAAAATAAACCCACTTTTTAAATTTGTTCAATTATAAATTTAATCATTCTACATTGAAATTATTTTCAAAGGGTCAAATTCTTTTCCATTAATTAAGCTGTAAATCGATTGATTCTTCTTTTCTGCTGCGTAAACTCAAACTAAAATTTATAAGATCAGCTTTTTACATTTTTTGATATATAATGATATATGCAACTATACAAATCTTGTAACCAATCATTTAAATCGTAAGTCTGAAAAAAATTTGGATTTTATTATACGTCATAACGCAGTAAATTTTGTTATTGTTGTTTTAAAATGGTAATGTATATTCTTTTGTGACCGAATTTAGTCATTATCTGGGGAGTGATATTTGTTTTATAAAAGGTCCTCTTATTTTTTTATAAAATCAAAAAAAAAAAAAAAAAAAATAGAAATAAAAAAAAATTTTACCTCGATGACAAAGTCATCTTTTTATGAAATGTTTTTTTCATATCACCACCTTTAGGCAATCAATAATTTTATTGCCAAACACAATCCCGATTGTTTAATAGATTTAAACAATCAACTCGCAGGAGAGACCTCTCTTGCTTGCATCTCTTTAATGATATTTTTATTAAAAATTAATAAAATAAATTTTTTTAAAAAAAATTTATTCACCAGACATCCCCTCTCACATGCACCTCTTTAATAATATTTTTATTATTAAAGGGGGTGCATGGGGAACGTTCTGGTGAATATTTTTCATTATCTGATTCCCTCCTTTCAGTATCATTGGATTTTGCTTCTTTGGCCTCGCGAACTTTGGACTTTTCCTTTGGCTCATTTTGTTTATTAGTTTCTCATATTTAGCTTAATTTTTAGTTTTGTTTGTTTAATTTAATTTGTCTTTCCTATATGCAATATTACAAATTATTAATATAATAAATTTATTTTTTATTTATTTTTTTGTTTATTAATTTATTTCGAAAGTTTATAATTAGAAAAAATTTTAATATAATAAACTGGAGTTATGGATGTAAATGTTATATCATTGTTAATATAATAAATAATTTTAAGCCCACTTGACTCGACCGAAAAAAAAAATTAAAATGAAATCAATGTAATGTTACATTTAAAATTTGATATACACGTATTAAAGATTCATTTCATATATCTGGTTTCAAATTGGTTCACGTAATAAGAACAATTTTCATATTATCGTGTGACGTGGCGAAGCCGTTGACTTAGGGTTCTATAATTTCTGCCAATAGAAATTAAATTATTTTTTTTTATTTAATAAAAATAAAAATAATTTTAAAAATTTATATACAACCATTGAAAAAAAAATAAAATAAAATAAAAACATTCTCTATTGTAAAGAAAATATGGAAAATATTTTTTGATGATGAAAGATTGACTTGCAAAGAAAATAACTATTAGAACGCACTTTTATTTTCAAAAATAATAGACACCATTGATAATATAAACGAAATATTACAATAAATGATCATTTAATGTCAAAGAAGAATATTATTCGTTTTATACCAAGTTTTCTGAACATAGAAAGAACTGGTTTTGTTCGACATTCATTTCAAAATTAATGACACATTCTCGCCACCTCGTTTTGATTTTATGTTTCGATATCCCTGGTAAGAGTAATTTTTGTTAGATTTTCTATATCTTAAATATATAAAAAAAAATTATTAGATTATAAACACTTTACCTTACATTCGTTATCAAACAAGTTTATAACAACTTCCGCCTCCCTAATGTAATTAAAAAAATAATGTGTTTTTGTTGTCATACGTAAAGTTATTTTGAACTTAATTTCATATTATTAATGCTTACATCTTTTCCATGCATACAAATATTTACCAACAAGTAAAAAATACAATCAAAACTTTTATTTTATTTTTAAAAATGAACAAGTTCAAATTTTAGAATGTTTATTAGAAGTTTTATAAAATACCATCAATTTATTTACAAAAATAGAAGACAATAACAAAAAACATTTGTTTCACTGATTTTTTCCGAACATTGGGTACATGAATCATAAAATGCAGTGAAACGTTTCATGATCGACATTTATACATTTATATGTGTACTTATCGCAGTTTTCAAATCAGGTGATGATCATGTGATGACCAATTCGTGACACATTTTTTGTATTTGACCAATCAATCGACGTGCATATACGAATCTTGTTGCTTTATCATTACCATGTGTAAAATTTATGAAATTTGTACTTGTTTTTTTGTATGAAATGTATGTACTGTGCTAAAATTGTAACAGTAAATACTTGTAACTGTAAATCAATAAAACCAGACAAAAAGAATAGAACAATTGTAGTTAAGTTTTTTAGAAGTTGTATTAATAGTTTAGATAATAATAATGAAGTTTATACAAAAAAAGTAAGAGATAGTATAGAAAAGTTTGGATATAAAATAGATATAAACAAAGCTTTTTATTATTATTATAGTCTTCATGTAATGGTAAAGCTTATCGCGAAATATAAAATTAAAATTCTCTTCTACTGTATCTTCCACAGTATCCCTTACTGTATCTTCTATATTCACATCACCTTCTACTACATTTAATGATTTACCAATTTCTGAAACAGAGAAATTATCACTTTAAATTCATCAAACAGTTTTGATTTTTCATCTGTTACTTCACCTATTTCTCTTACTTTAACTTCTCCTTCACCTTTATTATTATTAAAAGAACAATTTAAATTTAAATTGCAAGTAAAAAACAATAATGATTCTTCACAACAGCCTTAACTTATAGTAATAGAAGAAAAATCTTTTTTTTTTTGAATTTAAAGAAATGATTTATGAAAATTTGAATGAAAAATATAGATAGATTTATGAATTATGAGAAAATGAAAATAATATATAAAACAAAAAATAGCAATAGAGCAGGGAATTAGCTTAGCAATGAAGATGAGTTTAATGAATTTTTGAATTATTATGATAGATTAAAAAAAAATCTCAAAAATGTATTGGTTATTGTGAATGTTCAATCTAAAAGAAAAATAAATGTTATTAAATTATGAAACTAAATATTAATTTTTATTAAGATTTCTTATGAACCAAATGAAATTTCTGAATTTGAATTTAAATCATCTATTGGAAAATTTCAAAAAACGCATTACATGAAAATTGGAGATGCAAAGTCCAATCACGTTTCTAAAGAAATTAATATTACAAAGGAAAATATGATATAATGATAATTAATAAATCATGTGACGTTATCAGCCAATAGAATTTTAGCAATAATAAAAAATGATCTGCAAAAATTGACCAATCACGATGAAAGTTCGCTATGCTGGTAAAATATATATGTATTTATTGATTACTTTAAGGTTTATTATTAACTAAAAAATTTTTAATAAGCAATGAGCGTTCCAGTAGAATGATTTTTTTTCTGGTAGCAATAGCAAACAAAAGATGTGAGCCTAAAGCTAATACAATTCGCTTCTGTATGTGTTTGAAATCCTATTGCAATAACATACATGTAAAAAAAATTTGAATTAAAATTTATGTACAAAGAAAATAAATAAAACTTACTAATTTAATAAATATACTTCTTTTAAATATCTGTTCAAATAAATTTTTTATTACTTTCAAGTATTAATATTACTCTTGAAAATACGAGTCAAATCTGTGTTAAACAAAATCAGTCGGGTCAAATTCGAGTTGAACAACAAGTTGATTTCAGGTTCGAATATAAATATGCTTCAAATCCGACCTGACCCGACCCTTACGAAGCACTAATTAATACAATTGAATAAAATAAATTAACAAAAAATTAAAAATAAATCT